TGACCAAAGACCAATAAGCTAGCTATTTGATGTGTCCCAGCCTCACTAACTAGAAGAAGTCCAAGCATGGAATGAGGAAGTATATTCTGCAAAACAGCCAGAAGCATGAGCGATAACAACTAACACAATTCAAAACGTATATATACAGTGCCAAACCGTCCTTGGGGAGAGTTACCAAATAGCATACTAAAAGACGCAACGTACCAATAGCATTTAAGATATTTCCAAGTGGGAAATACGACATGAAGGTGACAAGAGCGCTTTTGGTGCAAAAACAAAGAAACTCAAATTTACTAAATAAAATTACAAAATTAGGTCCTTTCCCATGTGAGTTCTGGGGATCTATTGTCCCCAACAGCTGACATCAGCTATAATACGAAAACTCTATTTATCTTTATAGATGAGTGAATTTCATGCCAAAATCCGAGACCTATTCTCTTATACTTGATTAGTTCATTCATAAATTATAGTCTCACCATAAGAAATATATATGTCTAATTAATAAATTTATATTCTCTTATAATCATCATATGTAACTATTATGATGTATTTTTAAATAATAAATAAACAATAATGGCACCACATGTTTATTATTTATATAAATGAAGTGTTTTCATTCATAATATGATGTATATAAGTAGTATATAAATATATATATGTTTCATCAATTGTCATCTGATTTCAATAATTCTATTGTTTATTTTCTATATATCTATTATGACTAAGTGAATAAATAGATAAGACTTGATATTATTTCATTGAAATGTAAAAGAAATTGACTATAATGAACATCTGCCTGCGTGTTGTCAAGTTTAAGAGTGAGATAAGTAGTAGTATAATAGTGATGTTAATAATGACCTATAAACATGATATTGTAAACCTAAGATGTTATTATTATCACCATCATCATAATTTAAATAGAGATTGTATGGAACTGGTTAATTTGAAGATAATTTTTATTTGTGAACTTATATTGATTGATTAAATCAATCAAATCTGGTTGGGGACCGCGAGATGATAGCAACCGATGGTTAGAGACCTTGAATAACATGCTCAAAATCGTTTGCAATGGAGCAGGTGCATCCACTCTTTGTGTTCTCCCAAATTCTAATCTTCTGAATTCTTCATGTCCCGCTCTTTTCTTTTTCTAAATTTATTTCACTGAATTATACTCTTTAAATAACATCTTCAAACCCTAGTCTTTCCGATTACTTCTTATATTCTTACTAGCTCTACCACTACGGTATTTGAATTGACCACTGCATCTGTGTGCTAATGTGGTATGAAAACTCGAACTGATGTACGTACGTACGAAGTTCTACGTTGTTACTGACTGACTGATTGATTAAAAATATAAATGAATGAATAGAGCATTAGATAAGTGGGATGGTTCGTAGGACAAATTCACATCGAAATAAAGCTCCAGCAGATACGGAATTAAATCCGTTAGGGAGCATAGGTTTTGTCAAGATTACAGGTATATCATGCTGATGAGTGATATATATAGAATGAAATCTCGGTCCTGGGTTTTTTGTTGACCGATTTTAACCATTACCTTGGATCTCCAGATATCAGATTCTTGGAGATTGTTGACCGAAACCTTTGGGTCTAGGTTTTGTTTACAAGTTAAAACTCATCAGCTAGGTGTTTCTGTGATCTTGAGGAAACTTATGCTTTCTGAGTGATCCTAACCTGCTTCACCCAGTTTTAAAGTTTAAGATGTTGTCAATACAGTATTTGAAGTATAAATGACATCCTACAGTGATGAAATATTCACAATTAATGGACTACTGAATACCAACCATTTTCATGTTTACCTATTCCATTAATAATAATAATCGAGTTCTACCGATCATGTTGTAGTAGGGCCACTAATCTAAGAGACTCCATCCTCTCAATATTCCAATGTAGTAAACGTTCTACTGTCCTATTGAGAGAGATATCATTAAATCATTGTGTTAAAGACCATCGTACCACACTTATCCCCTGATTCGAAAGATTAGAGAATGCATCGGTAATCCAATATAATTTGTAGGTAATTGTTTAACATCAATAAACGATACTTGGTTTTTAAATCAAAATTGATTAACTTGAAATCTCAATAGCACTGTCTGTTCATATTACTATTTTTCATTTGACTCGATTGACTGTATGACGGTTTATAACATAGTTTAATACAGTATCTTTGTTGTCATCAGTTGTTTACTACTGCTGTAGTGAACAGAACACCAGTGGGGACAATCGAATGTATTTAACACAAAACTACAGGACTTGTTAATAAAATCTAACAATCAAATAGTAAATACGTAATTTGCAAACTGTCCATCAATTGTCTCATAATGACTCAGACTTCATTGTTCTTGCATTTTCATACAAATTGCATTCTGTTTCCATTCTTTGCTGTTCGATCCTCTTGTCTCTCTGCTGTCAAACCTTCTGTTCACGACTAACATCTACTACTTATGTCAACATAAGTAGCACACACCACACTGCTACTACTATCAATGAAGTGAACGAGAAGTCAAGTGGGACAAATCAATTTATTGTTTGATTCAAAATTACATAATGTCTTCGTAAAATGTGAAAGCCATACATTAAATACTGCATTTGTACATTTTCCATCAGTAGTCTCTTACAAACTTTATCGTTTCCTTATTCCTGATACTATTACAATTACTGTCTGTTTACATTCCTGATCTCTTCAACTCGATCTTTTCAACCTTCTTCTGTTAGACTTTGCATTTATGAGTAGTGTTACATACTACTTATGTCTGTCGACACAGATAGCATACAACACACTAATACAAGTACTAATATCATTACTCTTACTACTACTAGCACTATATATATATATATAGAATATTGTATTATTAGTGATAAGAAGTTATCAAGAATGAGATTATGTAATAATTCAGTGCGACTATCATTTAGAATAGTAAATGATTTTAGTCTGATAGTTTCAGTTATGCATTTATTCAGTATGATAGTAACTGAAGAAAGCATTATTAGAATTCAACTAATGGTCATTGCAAGAAAAGTCTGTATGCGATAAATTGATAATTTTTCCTAAAATATATTCTTCGTATTCACAGTTCATGTTTTATATTCTGTTATTCTCTTCCTGTTGTCATGCATTACACTTGTATAAGTGATAATCGGTTCGTTAATAACTTGGAATATGATCGGTAATGTATATTTATTAGGTAATAACATAAAAAAACTATCAGCTGTTTCATAATATTTAATCATTTTAACCATAATTCCAAATAGGAGACATTAAAACTTCTGTGCTGTTTTACCATATCACTAACTCAGATTCTATTTATACTCTGTAACGATTAGAAAAGATGCAGTTTATGAATGATCTTTGATAAGGTCTCACTATCCTTGAAATTTCATTCATATCGTATACACATAAAATTTTCATTAACCTAACTTTTGATACTTTTACCCCTTGGTGATTAAATATTTGTAAAATGTACCGTGTTTGACAAAGAGTCGCCGTGTTATCAACAAAACACTTCCATTACTCAGCCAATACTAAATAGATTCAGTTCAGTATTTTACACAGGGTTTATCTGTTTGTAAGCACTCAACATTCTGATGGTATAAGCATACTTGATAAATAAATGTTTAATATAATATAATAATAAAGAACAAATATGGTTTTCATCACCCTTTAGTGGATAACGGCCTCATATCCAACATGATCGAACTCCAGCAATAACAGTTTCACACTAGAAATCCTAGAATTTTAGCAAAAAATAGTAGTTGAGGAACCTGAAGTTCAAAAACATAGTCTCCAGTGTAGTTATAGGTTCATTTAACTGTGAGATGTCTCAAAATACGAAACAAACGAATGATGTTCACTGATATTCATCAGTTGTTCAACTACGTTCAGTTTAGTATTTTAAGCTCAATCTCAGCTTATTTATGTTTATTATTTTCTTCTTTTGAATGAAATAATTTCGTACATGGTCTCTCTCAATGTGTGCACGTTATGACCTTAATTTAATGAATTAATTTATTCAAGGTGTGACTAATATTCTTTTCATATTAATAAAGTTTAGGGGCGTTCACATGTTCTAATTTGATTATTCCATTGATAGTAATAATAGAGATTCATCACAATGAAAGTATACTGTATATGTCATTCAAATAATTAAAATGAAGAAAACGCATTTATGTTTAACAGAATTATAAATGATAAGAGAACGGAAGTTGGATTTCATGATGATGATGATGATGATGATGATGATGATGATGATGATATGATGATGATGATGAGATGATGATGATGATGATGATGATGATGATGATGATGATGATGATGTGATGATGATGATGATGATGATGATGATGATGATGATGATGATGATGATGATGATGATGATGATGATGATGATGATGATGATGATGATGATGATGATGATGATGATGATGATGATGATGATGATGATGATGATGATGATGATGATGATGATGATGATGATGATGATGATGATGATGATGATGATGATGATGATGATGATGATGAGATGATGATGATGATGATGATGATGATGATGATGATGATGATGATGATGATGATGATGATGATGATGATGATGATGATGATGATGATGATGATGATGATGATGATGATGATGATGATGATGATGATGATGATGATGATGATGAGGATGATGATGATGATGATGATGATGATGATGATGATGATGATGATGATGATGATGATGATGATGATGATGATGATGATGATGATGATGATGATGATGATGATGATGATGATGATGATGATGATGATGATGATGATGATGATGATGATGATGATGATGATGATGATGATGATGATGATGATGATGATGATGATGATGATGATGATGATGATGATGATGATGATGATGATGATATGATGATGATGATGATGATGATGATGCTGATGATGATGATGATGATGATGATGATGATTGATGATGATGATGATGATGATGATGATGATGATTGATGATGATGATGATGATGATGATGATGATGATGATGATGATGATGATGATGATGATGATGATGATGATGATGATGATGATGATGATGATGATGATGATGATGATGATGATGATGATGATGATGATGATGATGATGATGATGATGATGATGATGATGATGATGATGATGATGATGATGATGATGATGATGATGATGATGATGATGATGATGATGATGATGATGATGATGATGATGATGATGATGATGATGATGATGATGATGATGATGATGATGATGATGATGATGATGATGATGATGATGATGATGATGATGATGATGATGATGATGATGATGATGATGATGATGATGATGATGATGATGATGATGATGATGATGATGATGATGATGATGATGATGATGATGATGATGATGATGATGATGATGATGATGATGATGATGATGATGGATGATGATGATGATGATGATGATGATGATGATGATGATGATGATGATGATGATGATGATGATGATGATGATGATGATGATGATGATGATGATGATGATGATGATGATGATGATGATGATGATGATGATGATAATAATAATAATAAATTAACCCGTATTATTTTTTGTACAGACAAGTTAACTTAACAGCTTTTTAAATTTTTGTAGTTATTAATTGATTCTGATGAGTTCGTGCATGTAATACGATCAGTGAACTAATAACACTCCAGTTTTACAGTTGTGAACTAGAACGCAAGTGGGAACATTCGAAATTATTTGAATACATAATTACAGAATATATTGTTAAAAATCTAACAGTCATATAGTAAATTCTTCAATTGTAAAATGTCAATCAATTGTCTCAAACTCGAATGTTTCTTAATTTTTACAGCAATCGTTCGCTGTTTTTGTTCTCTTTTATTCGATTTTCGTAACCTTCTGCTTCCAGGTGTTTCACTTTCGATTTAGGCTACATGCTACTGATGTCTATCGATCTCAGCAGCACACACCACAATACCATTCAAAATCATCCGATAACGGGTTTGAACTGGACAATTTAATTTTCAAATGAATCTTTCTAGATTGTATTCATGAGTCAACCTAACTTAGACCATCATTGGAAACCTGGAAGCACTGGACGGCTACTTCGTACTAGTATGAAACTCCTCAGCAGTTCGCATTCACGAACCTGTTGAAAAGATTCATACAAGGACAAAACGGCTGTCCACTTCTTCCAGGTTTCCAATAGTGGTCTAGCTTAGATTCTTTTTCACATATGTGATTTCATCCCAATTATTAATCAAAGTGGGTTTACAATCAATATATAAATGAATGTATTTTTAAGTAGAGCTATTGTGTTTTGGGGTTTTATATATCTTCACTTGTACCAGTCTTCCGCGTTCTTACTTCATGTCGTGGGAATTGCAATGGTTCTTTGTCCTTCCAAGTATAAGAATAAGCGAAGTGGACATAACGATATAGATATCCATATAAGTTACTAATGGAAAAAACACCGAAAGCATAGTAACACAGAGATAAATCGGTAGATAGTCCATTATCCATTACTTCAGATGCTTTCATAGATAATATGATTAATTATGTTAGTTATGAATACTTCTATAGTCATGTCAATACTCTACCAAATAAAACTTTAAATATGCAAAATATTCCATTTTAATTGTTCTATAAAGCATGAAAATAGGTTCGAGAAATATATGTTCATTGAGAGAAGTTACAAAGTATTGATATAATTCATATACATACCTTTCAATCATCCGTTTACATCTTCCGGTATCATTTACAAATATTGTTCCATTACTATAATGAAACTTTTTTACACTATCTGACAAGTTTTAAACCACATTTTGCAATATACTACTTACAAACAATTTTATGAGTAGCTTCCACCTACAATTCTATATTCAATGAATTTGAGTAAAGTATGCATTACTCAATTATAATTAATTAATTTTTTTATTATTATTTATTTTAACAATCATGATTATCTTATGAATAATTAAGAAATTTCTTTTTCCGTATCATTGTAATTGCCTTTTTCTCTTTCTATTAATTAAAAAGGAAACGTGTTCTATTCAGTTACTGTTCTGAGTACACAATAATAAAAAAAACCAAAAAAAAGAGAGAAAAATAACTGAAAGCAATTCATACCATAATCATTGTAAACATGTTTACTTTTAATGTTTTCCTTTTTTTACACAAGAAATGAAAATGATTCATTTCAACTAATTAACTAGATTCTCTAAGAAACTCGACTCAAGTAAATATACATATATTTGTAACTGTGTATGTATCTATGTATGTATACATACATTGTACACTACTGAACTTAACAAACAATCATTCATTTGTTTATGAAGACTCACTATATATGCTTACTCACTTCCCTTCTATTCTTCCTTTCTCATTCCATTCCCCCCTCTCTCTCCCTCCCTTTCTCTCTCTCCCTCTCTCTCTATATATATATATATATATTGCATATTTTAACACAATATAGTTTACATGTTAACTTAGTCAACAATACACCGTTACCATATGATTCAGTGGAATGAAATTATGTACACATACTATATAGTTCACCTCTTCTAATCTTAGAACGGTCCGTCCCCTTTTTTTTAAAGTAAAAATAGAAATTATTATCTCATTAAGAATAAGGAAGAATCGGAGAGAAAGCAGAAGTGTTTCGTTTATTTATAATATTGTGTGTACAAGCGATTTCTTTCCGTTTATTTTTTTTCAATTTCAACAAAGTAGTGTGTTAGTGAACAAAAGAAATCAGGAGTACTGACAATCTCCCCAAGGATTTATGAAGAGTTTTTTAGAGGATATTTTTTTAATAAAATAATAAATAGGGTATGCCCTGAGGATAGTAAAGTGCATTGGCACGTATGTGTGTGTGTGTAACTGTGTACACATGTATATATATATATATATATATATATATATATATATATATATATATATACTGACTATCGAATAAAGGCCATAAGTCCGGATGCATGCAAAATATAAGAGAAAAACATTATAACAAACTGGAACATGTTAGGAACTCTTACAGAATGTATATATTATGAAAAATATACAAAATTAGAACTCAGCAGGAAGAGATATTGACTGGTACACTTGTACACAGTTACTCATAAATAGTCATGTAATGATTGAGAGGAATGAGTCAATGAATTGTAGATTGTCTATAGGTATGCTTGTGTGTGTGTGTGTGCTGATTTTTAACTAAATATTGTTACGAATGGAAAACTAGAAGAAAGTGGACAATTTTAGAGAAAACCCACAATAAAATCACGCAATTGAGAAAAACTTATTGGAAAAATTTATACAACTGTGTGAAATAAGAGATGTCTTGAGGAATGAAACAAAAACCTCGATGATTTGAGCCATTTCTACTTACAGAACATTCACAATTAAATAAGGTAGATTTTTATATTAATGTGGAGCAGTAACAATTAGAAAGTAGACAAACTCATGAAGAATGTTGGCACTCAATTATTTAAATAGTTGTGATCATGAGTCAATTGAAGTTAGAACACCATGGAAAACCTGGAAGCACTGGGCGGCCGTTTCTTCCTACTGTTGGACTGCTCAACAGTGCAAACTCACGATCCCGCCTCTCGAAATTAAAACCCAAGAGCTATCGAACTCGCGCGCGGACGCTTAACCTCTAGATCACTGAGCCGGCATTCAGTGGTGTTAAGAAATATTTCCTGGAGTTCTGCTGGAAAACATTGACCAGTGGAATACAACCGAGTCTGTTGTGAGATAGTAATTCACTGAAAACAATGGTGAATGTAGGCATTAACACCTTTGGATGCCGATCGGCTCAGTGGTCTAGTGGTTAAGCGTTCGCGCGCGAAACCGATAGGACCTGCGCTCAAACCTCGAGAGGTGGGATCGTGGATGCCCATTGCTGAGGATTCCCACAATAGGATAAAATGGCCATCCAGTGCTTCTAGGTTTTCCATAATGGTCCGGCTTCAATCGACTCATGATCTCAACTATTAAAATTACTATAATATCCAAGAAACCCTTTTTTGATAATCAGTTGTTTATTTGAAATAATAAATGACTTCCTATTTCTTAGCATAGTAACCAACTAACTCCTATAGTATTTTTAGATTTTTATTAGTTATAAGTTATATAATATACCCTTGTGGGCCAGGGTAATTTTACATTGGTTTTCAGGAGAACCAGACACCATCCGGACATTCAGTTAAAAACCCAAACAGTGCAGCTCAACCCCGTTTAGCAGAGGAACCAGACACCGTACAGGCCTTAACGCTACAATCTGAATAGTACAGCTCAATCCTGTGGCGCAACCACACAGGTACCAAGAACCCTGGTGGACCATTCGCACCATTCATATACACACTCACATCACATGTATAGTTATTCCGATCAATGATCGCGTGATTCAATTATGCACAGCACGAACAGGCCAAAGTTGGCCTGTTCCGCTTACACGACAGTCAAACTCGTTAATATTAGCAATGGCGGCATGCCTTACAATGTCCCAATGACAATGGCCCTCGGGAACACTGAAAAGCAACCACCAGTATGAATGAAATCGGTTAACCAGCAAACCAATTTTTGCATGAACAGTGAGCAAAACTTGCCAAAGCAATGCCGAACCGTCCACAATAGTAATGGCGAACCTCCAGCCTCATATGAGACCTTCAGCTCTATATAACCATATAGCTTATAGTGCATACAACACATGTATAGGGTAGTAAGCGAAATAGCCCAGCCTGAAGCGTTAGGGCTTAAATAACGCTTAAAACCCATTGTCTGATGTCGGAATACTATAATTAGACCACCAAGATCATTTTTATCGCATTTGCGAAAATTTCATTTTTCCGACTTTTAGATTTTTCATACCATATTGAAATATTGCTATTATCATTTTTCATTATGATTATGATTAGTTCACCAGTGATTTTATAGTTATTACCAGACTTTTCATTTTCATGGTACATCAATTTTGGTTAGTAAACATACCCTTTATTTAGTTGTGAGAATAGTATACAATCTCACATTTATTCTCTTTTCTCATAAAACTTAAACCTGTAGAGTTGTGAGGATTGTGTAATATTAAATCAATACAATGTAAGGATGATATTAACCACAGACAAACTAATCTCATTTCAAGGACTATTGAAAACCAGTGAGGAATGAAAAGTTCTTATAAGAATCCGAACATGAATGATATAAGAAGAATACGTATGAAACAAATGTTTTTTTCAAGATATTCTAGAACACTTCCAATAGGGTATCAAGAAGACATGGGAAAATGAAAATGACAAGGGTTGAGAACAACAAAATATTTCAAGACAAAGAGACGATACTGAATGTAGGACATATCATCTGAATATCTAGAAGAGTAAATGAGTCCCACAAAGGCAGTATTAAAATATAGTTACAATATTCAATTGAGAAA